CTCTTAGATGCAGATGGAGCTGTAGACTTTCCTGCCACACGTGCGTCTCCCTGTTCCCCTCCCTCTCTCTGTCTCTCTTTCTCTCTCTCTCGTACTCTATCCCGGCTTGCCCCTTGTTTTGGTCGCTTTGTTTCACGACTTTCAGCCGCGCGTAAAAGTAAAGAAAAACTGTCAGCTTTGCTGCGGGCGATGGGGCGTAGCTCGGTGCACTTTAAGCCACGGCCCGCCACAAGTTTGAGTTACGGGGCCGCATTGTCAACATGCAATCCGCAATCTACAATCTGCACAGCTGCGTAAGTGCGGCCAACTATGGCAGTCCTGAGAGAAACCAGCGCTGATTGGCCCTACATCTCAATGTGGGGCACTGCAGCAGTTGCCAGGGCAGCGGAGCAGCAATTGGGACCACTGAAATCACTTAGCAATCGGGCTGGTTAAAGCTGATTTAGAAAGAGGTGATTGAAGGCAAACTAAGCCTATCAAATGTATGCAAAATATAAATCCTATATAGAGATCTTCTAGCTTAGGCTAGAGATAGTTGCCCAGCTTTTATGTGTTATATAAAAATTGTTTTCAATGCCAGTGTAATTGTTGAATCGGCGACCGACGCAACACAACCCATTTTCACGTTTATTGGGCTACAATTTGGCTTTTAATGAAATTGTTAGCAATGTTTTTAGTATAAAGTTAAAGTTTTTTTTCGACTATGCAACAAATTTGATAATTTTATCTATTCAAATACTTTAGCATAGTCCTAATAGCTGAGCTGGGCAAATTGTTGGGCACAAGAAACCAGCTCAAATATGCCACAAAACCGAGCACAAAAGTGTCGTAAAATAAAATCAAAATGTAAGACACAAAAAGTACAAAAAAAAATAATATCAAAAAAGAAACACCAAAAGCAAACTTTGAACTTTAAATAAATTTTTTTGACTTTAGCAGTCAAGTGCAGTAAAAAAAAAGTAAAAACTACAGCAACAAAGTTCTTAAAAAAAATGTTATGTGTGGGAAATAAATGAGAATGGTCGAGTAGGAAAATCTCGACTTGGGCATACCTCTGACACGAATCTGCCAAATGTTTTGTATTCTATTTTATATAAAGATACCAAAAAGAAATTTTTTAGACTTAAGTCAAAATGCGGTTGAATTAAATGGTTTTCCTCTCATTAAGTAGAAGATGAAGTAGCTGCAAGTTTTTAAATAATGTGAACACTTTCCTAGACACCTTTCAAGATTTTGAAAAGAGAGCACAAACAAAGTCGATTCCTGAAAAAAATAGATATAGCTTTACCAAAGCTGTACAAATATAATGCTTACAGGGTATATCGAGTGCTGGAACATTAAGAGCAACCACAACTTGGCTACTCATGTACAACAAAATGGTGGGGGGGAAGAAAACGCGCTGAAATAATGGGCCCAAAAGCCTTGGTATTAAGTTGAGTTGAGTTTAACCAGTAGGATGCAGTTGGAGCAGCCAGTCAGGAGCAGGATGTGTGCTCTGCTCAAGGATATGAGCGGGCATAAAATTTAATGCCTGATGCCAGTGGCTGTGCCTGAATTTGGTAGACTTTGGCGCAAGTATATGTCAAAGAGGAACGACAGGAGCAGCCACAGCGGCAGCATCGCCACATGCAAGTTCTCGGCTCTGTTGCATTATGAATGCCGCATAATTTAAGCGCATTGCTGTCCTGTGCAGACGAGAAACAGCTCACATGCACTTTAAACTCGTCGTCCGGCCTGCCCTTGCGCATATTGCAGCGAATTTTTAAATTAATTTGACTAAGTTGTCCTGCAAGTGTTTGCGTAATGCTTTAAAATCTCGCCCAAAAACTTGTGAAGCTCTCCTTGCTTTTATTCTGCACAGTCGATGTGTCCTGCTTGTGACCACTTTTTGGTTTGGTCAAGTGTGCTGCGTGTGTGTCGTGTCCTCCGACGCTCTAACTTTGGCTCAAAACTTGGCAGTGCGAGTATTTACAAGTACTCGAAATTGAGTTGCACTGCAGCTGAGACGTGCCCAATGACAGGATATTACGTGCATAAGTGAGCGAAACGATTCGGTTGATGTTTGCAATTGTTTGTAATGAGCCTAAAAGTAAAAATATTCCTGATGTTCCCTCATTTACAGGCACTCACATAAATTAGTGCTAGCTCGCTTAGAACATCTTGAGCTTTTGAGCGATTCTCATATTCATGGTAGTTATAGAATAGATAGGTACGATTTACCTCATAATTCGAATGCTAGACTTTACCATTAATAATAATTTCAATGCTTAGTTCTATAATACATAATGGTGTCAACATAATAAATCATGTTCAAATAAGTTAAATATTGCCCTTCTTTGCGATTCTCATGAATTTAAATAAGCCTCGCAGGCTTAAATACCTCACTTTATATATTATTTATAATATTTGTAGTTCATTCAAGACGTTCAAGCGTGTGCAAATTTATATTTACAGTCTCCAGCATTTAAACTCAACACATATGTAATTGAATATGGCTTATAAAGCACATTGGCCGCAAATTGGCTTTTAAAGCGCTTCTATTAAGTGCCTGCAAATTTTTGCAACAGCATATATCTCACAAACATTAATTTAATATGCTGTTACAGTTCTTCTTTTTGATTTACATATTGATTGTCATGTGCCACAATCCAACCCTTAGCTTATGTCGAGTTATTCTTAAAAAAAGCCCCTCAAAATAATAAAAACTACATTATGTGGCCGATAAAAAGAATGATACATAATAAACATTGCATTGTTTGATTACTGCTCGAACCATGGCTATGACAAATACGTGCAACGGAAATGAGCATAAAGGACACGGACAGCGACCAGCTGGAATCTGTACAGAGTGTCCTTTATGCATCAGCGATATGGATATGTATGAGAATGTGGATGTGAATAGAGATTTAGCTATCGATATGGATGGCATGGTATGCAATGAATATCTAATCTATTTTTGATGAATCGCAATTGTCAATTTCAACGATGCAAGCAAAGCAAATGCTTCAAAGGCGCTGACAAATTATTGTTGTATATGAAGGCTGACCAGAGAATAGCAGTTAAGTTAGCAGTTACTTTAAGCTAGTGTTGGAAAATACAATTTTTTGAAAGAAACCATTTAAATAGTTTTATAATTTTAAACAAGCTACAAAAGCGAGGCTTCAGCAGTATCACGAGCTATCTCAGCTCTATTACCTATCTCTCTATTGCCGTTAATTCCCAAACAGTTAAGGCAAATATATATGCTTTACAACAAATTTTGATTCTCTTATATTTCTTAATAGAGAACATATTGTTAGAGCATATACAAGTCTGTACTCGTCTGTGTTACCTTCTGCATTTACTCTATACACTTTTTTTACTATCGAATTGTATTCATAATGCATTAGAAGTGCTCGGCCAACATGTGCCTGGGTCTAGTTGTGCATTGTTTGGGCACTTCTGGACAACCATTGATGTTGTTGCTGATGATTCTGCTTTCGTATGCACAAAAACAGTGAGTGCCATGTAGAAATTGTCATCAATAAAATAAATTGTTGTGTCTATTATTTCTGTTGCATTTGTATTTCTATTTGTGCTTTTTTGCTTTGTTTATTTTATTGCAATTGGTCCTGTAAAATTAACAGAAAATATTAAACCAGCAATGAATTCAATTGTTCTGCACAGCGTTTGGGTTTGGTTAGTGGAGATCCATCAATTTTGTATGGATTACGAACTCAGACCGCGCGGGACTGCCAAAAGGGTGAACCATTTCATGTTATTGATGTGTACTATAATTTACACTTAGTCCCTTATAAAAACAACTCATTGTAAAAAAGTCGATAATTTAATGAATGATGGCTAAAAAATTCATTTGCCCGCACGCTACTTTTGTTTTAAAAATTTATGCAACTTTTTGTTTATATTTAATAACTTTGTAAATTCATAATCCACATTTCCTTGTCGTAATAAAAAATTGTAAACAGATAAAATATGGTATATGTAGAAATCAAATTATAAAGACCTACCTATTACTTGGTGGACTATACCGAATATTTTTTAATTGCAAATGCAGAGTATCTGCATTTGGATGCCAGCAAAAACTACGGCTAGTTCGAATGCTTTGTAATTAATAATTGATGTGCCTAATTGGATTATGTGGCGCACTTGCAAATGCTGTGAAAAATTTGTTCGTTTCCGTTTCAATTCAATGGCCAAATATCGATAGAGCAAAAACTAAAATGTTTAACTCTAAAATAATTGTGTATGATAGAATAAGAATCGAACATTGCGAACACACGAGCGTTCGAAATGTGACAAGCCCAAACTGATATCAAAGGTTGGGAATGGCAGAGGGGGGGCTTAACATAAAGTTCTCTTCTGGCATAAAGTTTTGAATCAATGTTTTGATGTATCATTAAGTACACATCATAGTATTTGGGGAAGAAAGAACTCAATTTTTGAATGGAGAATTTCAAATAAACATTTTATTATGTTGCCAGCAAGTGTTTTTAAATGCAATATTATTATGGTATTTGGTGCTATTATTACTGAGAGTCATACGAAGAAATCATTTTAAGCTAGTAGAGGTTATAGTACATTTTTATTCATAGGAAATTGTAGCATATTATGAAAATGTAATTTTATAATTCCCTCCAATACGATTTATATTAATGAACCAATTACATGCTTTTATTTTTTGTGTATAAGTTTTGCTGTTTTCTAATAAAGTTTACTTTTTAATGTTTGTGTGTGCCTGTGTGTACTATGTATGTATACAGGCATGTGTATACTTATATATAAGTGCATGTGTGTATGAGAGTGCCGCCTTTCCATGCGATTCTCATGAGAAGTAAGGCCTATAAGTTCTCATGCTTTGATTAAAAGTTGATTATGCAATCTAATGCGCTTTATTTTAGCTCTCAAGTTCTTTCACTCGGATATCTTTATACCTCATTATATTTTATTTCTCATACATTTACTTTAATACACTCTCCTGTTTTATTTTGTTAATATTTCAGTGATGTGATTCGCATATAAATCCGTATTTAAAGTAATAAAATAATAATGCCACAGGCATGTGAATATGTGAATATTTGGGTAAGTTCGTAATCACACATATATATTTTTGTATAAATAAATATAAATAAGAATAAAAGTAATTCTCCCCATTAGAATATGCATGTCATAGGCATGTCTAAATAACTAAATGTCACAGCATGTCCTTTTAAAAAAGCTCAAAACTGGCAAGTCTCAGATACAACCTTTTATCGAACCCTTTGGGGTCATGCAGTTTTCAATTGTCTCAGGCCTTAACAAAGATATTGCAAGCGTCTTTCAAGCATCTTTTAGCCCAGTTGTTGTCTATCTAAATGCTGCACATTAATAACAAAAGCAACGGACACAGATACACAAAAGTTTGGCTTATAAATATGCCCGACTAAATGAACTGCCTCATAAGATTGACGACGAGAACTCAACAAGGCACTGGCCTATAAAATTTACAGCAAATGCCAAAACAAAAGGCTGAAATCTTGTAAATTTTCGAAGGCAAGGCAAAACAATTAAACAATGAAAAGTGGACAGTCAAACGGCTGGGATGCCAACAGAACAGGTGTGACCAGGTACTTTTGCCTAGTTACGGCCCTGTCTGCACTTCATCATCAAGAGCCAACTGCTGTTGGCATTACTCAAGGCATTTAGCAAGACGATGTTGTTCATTAATGCGCTTTTGAATACCCTGCAAGAAGGGGAAATTCGTGAAAATGAGTAGCTATCTGGTGATTGTTATACGAATTTTATTGTTGGTAATTTACAGAAAGATCTGTTGGGCTTTTTAATGTTGAAAAAAATTAAATATTGGATTCAGCTAGATGATAAAAATTATTTATGTATTAAACATGTGCTATAGAACAAGATGCCTCCCTCTGCTCTTGAGTCTGGATCGTCTGTGAGCCTCACGCAGGGCTTACTCAGTATGGCTTGACATAGGGTATCTCATAGTCCAGCACTGATTAGCAAGTTAGGCAGTTGTTGGCCAGACAAAGGCGCGTGCCAGTTGCCTGCAGAGAACAGCGGCGCCTGTAAGCAGACAACAACAAAATTATTATTTATAAATTGCTTGTATGTTCTTCTGTGTGTGTGTTTCTGTTGTGTCTGCTTGTGTGTGTGTGTGTGTGTATGTGTGTGTCTATGGCATAGCAGCAACACCTTTAGCCAAGCAATCGCCCCTTTTGGACTCCTCTGGTCCCATTGTCTGATACTTCTGCGCCGGCAAAATCTTTTGACTTTTGTATAAAGTTTTCAAGTTGGAAGGGAGTTTTTAGCGAGTCCAATGTTTTGATGTTGTTGTTGTCGCTTTGCCTATTGGCATTTATTGTGTGCGTTCCGGCTTAGGCCCATTGTACTTGGAGGCCTTTTGTTAAAGTGTTCCAGCAACCTGCAAAATTATTGCGCCTGCATTGCTTTGGCAGTTCAAGTGCAAAGCAAAAAGGCACGACTTAGAGGCTGAGCAAAAGACAGAGACTGAAAATGTGGCCATGACTAAAAGAGACAACACTATATTTTTTAATTAAATACTGAATGCCAAATTGTACAAATGCTTGCTTTCAAATTCTTCAGGCAATTAAAACTCTTTTGTTATCAGGTTTTTTGGGGCGGTTTTTTTTTTTTTGGCATTTTATGCGCTTTTTACATTTCAATACACAAATTTGATTGCAATGCTTGCATGTGCCGGACATGCACTTGTTATAATATTTTCTTGTTTTTTTTTTTTGTAAATGTTCCTGCCATTTTTTAAATTTTAAATCGGAGCTATACGAAAGCCGATCTCTTATTAAAAACTCGGTCGAAAGTAGAGTGCAGATGAATTAAATTTGCTCTAGACAATTTCACTTTATGAGGTGAAATATACGTGAATTGTACGCAAATCAACAGGGAAACTTACTCTAGCTCATTATTTGAGAAGATCTGGGTGTAAATGTATAAACCACTGGATCATAATTAATTATAATTAAAACTAACTACAATCTGCCTAATAAGTCAATGCGAACAGCTTCCTAAGTATCCAACACTTACCCCATTTCCAGGCCACACACACACACACACACACACTTGAAATGTCAATTGAGCTGCAGCTCGTAATTAAAGATCAAATAAGAAAAACAAGAGTACACGAAAAGTAAATGGAAATGAAAGGAAAACATGTTGCTGGGAAACTAAAGCGTTTAGCATTATGCGCGGCATTTAAAACTCATTTGAGTCAGGAACCTATGTGAAGAGCTGAAGAGCGGAAGTGCAACTGCTGGCCCAGACGTTGGCATGTGCTACTTGATGTTGTGGCTCTTCTTCTTCGGCAAGTTGTTGCTGATGTTGTTGTTGTTTTTGTTGCAACATTTGTATAACGTTATTTCCCAACTGAGTTAAGTAGCAAAGACTCCCACATTTGCCCACCCTCATATCGCATAATTACGCAAAGTGAACGCTGAAAAAAGTCGGCCCAATAAGGGAATGGATGAAAGGGGCGGCTGAGAGTGAGGATTGAGGGGGGGGGCATAAAAAAGAACTGTAATTAGTGGTGCGAAATTAGTGTTATCCTCGAGCGCAAAAACATTGGAAAAATCCCACAACACCTCCTCTCCATCTGGTCTCATCCCATGCAGCTCCAAGCAGCGGGCTCAAAAGTGAAATGAAACACACGCTGATAGTTTTTTAATGTGTGTGCGTATGTGTGTTGTGATGTCTGAATGGAAGCAGGTGTAAACCATGCTGGCATGAACCCTGCTGCTTTCAAGGCACTTGCCATCACTGCGCTGCCCCTCGGACTCCCAATACCCCCCTCAGATCCACCCCACCTGAGCGCCAGTGAGGCAGAAGCTTAGCAAATGCCCGAGCTGCGAGTCGTCAGCTTCATAAAGCGTGATATTTGGGTCAACAACTCGACTGCGACTGCGGCTGCGACTGCCAGCATAGTCGAAGGGGGATTGGTTGGTTGATGGGTTGGTTGGGTGTGGTGCTGGGCTGCCCGGGCAGGCAGAATCGACATAGGGCGTCGATTGGGGAGCTTTGGCGCGCCAAAAACTTTTTATGAACTGTTAAATTTCCAATTAGCGCTGATTGTTGCGATTTAACAGAAAACAAACAGCGCGTGTGAGGCTCCACTTTAACAAGGTGGAAGCCCAAGGAACAAGATGGATGTACTATGCGATACGAACAGGTGCTGCAGTTTTTGAAAGGCTCGCATATGTTGCAGTCAGCTCTTGAAAAAAGGTACAAAGGCGTTCGTTAGAAAAGTGTTAAACATTTTGCCAATTGCAATTATTTGACATTTTCCTTTGCTTTACTCTTCTTAAACGTTTACCAAATCAAAGCTGCCAAGCTAAACATAATTGTTCTCTTCTATCAAGAGCATGTCAACTGGGTTAGAAAATTAAAACCAAATAAGAAATTAGGAGAAAAGTAGGCAGCTTTAAACAGGTCTACGAGGTTTATTTTTTGCCATTCTCATCTGTTTGTCAATTCGACTGGGACCTAGATTTAATTTAATTTAAAAAAATCGACATTTTTAGTATTCAAATAAACATAAACTAAAACTATATAAATTGACCTCAGATGTAAACCTCATCGTAGTTATTAAGCTTACTTTCAGAAGTCCTTTGGATGAGTTTCAAGTACATAAAATTGTTAGAAACTTCTTCACGTGCTGTTTAATAGCTTCAATTAATAGTTTATGCACTTGACAACGTTGACCGTCTGATACTTTGAGCCGAGGCGCCTTGTTTGCCTCTTGTGTGCCTTTTCTTTTTGCTTGCTTTTGTTTTTGGACTGCACATGTCAACGCCCATGCTCAGACGTGAAAAGTGAGCTGCGGCGGGGTGAACCTTGAGCTTTTTTTTTTTTTTTATCGCCATAATGTGTATGCACACGTATCCACATGTATTTGTATCTACGAATATGTGTATCTGTATCGCAATATCCATGCGATATCCGCATATCCTGTTGCAACAGGCAGCCTGTCCGCCTGTCCGCCAGCCCCCAACCCAGTCGCCCTCAACGTTTCTCCCAACAGATGAATGTCTGTTAAATATTTATGAGCATCGAAATGTTGCCTCAATGCATATTATAACAAATGAAACGTCAATTTCATGCGGAAAATGCAAACAGCCTCGGACCAGGGAGCAGGAGCCAAGACCGGAGCTCGAATGAGGAGATGCTTCGGTTCCACTGCGGCCATCATTGGATTCGCTGTGTGAATGCTTCTGTGCATGTGTGTGCCTGTTTGCATGTGACATGCTTTCTTGCTCATATCCAGCTGGAGCCTACGGCCATTTGCCAGTACACCTAGGTGCGGCCAGTTTTTGTGGGCGTGCCTGCCGGCAGTACTTGCTTGCGTTTGGTTTCTGCACAATTTCATTATGGATTTTTATGCATGTCCCCAAGCATTTTACCTGTTTTCAGGTATTTTATTTCAGTGTCCAAATTCAATAATACGGCAAAGTTCTTAAAGCTAATAACAGCGAATAATGATTGATATTAATTTAAGTTCGTGGAGTTAATATTTTTCCTATATGTGTGCCGATCGCAGCTCCTAATATAGTTAAGTTGAACTTTTTATTAACTTTAATGAAATGTAAATGTCCGGCATTGCGCTGTGCGTTTCAAGTTAAAATCTACCGAGCCGGCAATTCGATCTGTTTAAAATGTGCTGCCCGAGAAGGCAACTCATTTTTAATGGCAAACGTCAAAAGTTGTGCAACTGCCAGGCCGCAAAGCGTTTTAACTTTATGCTAATTAACTAAGCGCTCCCTCGCGCCCGTTGAACAGAAAATCCCTAGCTAAAAACGATTAAACGTCATTAGCATTATAATAGCATGGCGACTTTGACTTTGAACGTGAAGCTCAAGTATCCGTCTATATATCCCCGCTGACTTCCGCTGACCCCCAATCCCCAGCTAATGAATGGCCAGCCATTCATCTTCATATTATCAGCACCAGCAGCAGCAGCATCAGCATCAGCATCAGCAAGGGTTTCAGTTTAATTGTAATTAAAGTGATTATTAAGGCACAAGTGCTAAAGATTTTTTTCCTTCTATACTCTGTATG